CCGACTGTGCCCATGGTGGTCACCAACAGCTGTAATTTGACGACAAGCGTGTGGAAGAGGTCACAGGTGGAAATTATTTGCTGCTGCTGCTGCGAGAGGGTAACTTCGCGTCTCCTCAGTCAGGTCTACATGATCTGCAATAACTGTTCTCGCATTTGTCCATATGCACATGCCATTACTCGGTTTCCCAGTTGTCTTTCAGCTTTCCACGATATTTCTCAAAGTTCAAGAATGAACTGCTACTCATGTCTTCCTTCTCTGCACATAAATCTCGAATCACGGTCGCATTAAGTACATTGTGATCCAATTACACAAGTTTTTTCAAATATTCTACAATCTGAAAACCTGCATCATTACACTTGATCATCAACATAGCAGTGAAATTAATCACCAGCATATCAAATCCACTTTGAGCTCCTAATCAGAATTATTTTCTGGTACCACAAAAAATGCTAAATTCGAGACTCTTTCCCCAAGTCTCTCTGTATAAGAAAGACACCGGCTTGCCAAGAACCTGACTAACAGGTACGTACAAGGCATTTTCACATGGCCCATGACTTTTCAAGTGCCAAGAATAGTCGATTTTCTTGGGTAGGGATCGGCCATAGCCACATCATAACAGTTGAGAAAGACAAAGTTGACGCATCAGAGACAACAACAGAAAAAGCACTTTCTGAAGAGAAACAGAACGCAATGGTCAACACTGACACCCTTGGCTGAGGACGAAGAGCATGAGACAACAATGGAGGAAAGGATCTTCAAGGTGAGAAAAAGTAGCAACTCTCCATTCCACTAGTTCTTTACTCCAGATCGCAATGAAGTAAAAGTGGGCGAATAGTCAAAGACACAATTTTATTTTTTAAACAATTAGCTGACTTTCGAGGTCAGATGGACGAAGTTAGGAGACAGGAAATCTTATTTTCTTCCATTGGAGAGGAAACGAAGAATTTGTTACCTAAGTCCAGCAAAACCAAGGTAGTGAACATGAAGAGGTTGGACTGATTTAACGAATCAGCTGAGGAACTTCCATCTGTAATTGATGTGTGGCTATGTTTGTCTCAAGATCACCTTTTTCCGATTAAACACATAACAAGTTTATGAGAAGAATTTGAAGATTTGAAGATCAGTACTGAATGAAATCTTTTGATTTATTCTCATGTTCTTTGTGTATACCACACACATGTTTGATATCAATTACTTGAAGTTTTTAGAGTGAAAATCGATGGACTTTTTTGATCACCAGCTCTATACAACTAAAATGCACACTGAAAACTAGAACACCTACATCAATTTAACAATGATCAAATCCACTTGACTATATTTGAATTTCATTTTTGTAAATATGTCTCAACTTTCATTTTTTCCATATTTTTTGTACTAAAAAAAGCATCTGAATATTATTTTTTCACCAATTAAATATTTTTTGAATTGAAAACAATTATCTTCAAAAATCATAACATTGAATTCATTTCTTCAAATTATAATTTTGAAATGTAATATATGTAAATTAAAATTTTCTGAATTTTGGATGATTTAAAACCAAAATTTCATTTCTTTTATTGATCATATTTTATTACCCTAAAAAATAATTGAATGGTTAGAATGAAAAAATTAAATAGAAATTTGACACACATGATATTCCAAGAATTCATAAATGGAAATTTGACTTCCTTGTTAAATATAATTAGTTTGATCAAACTATACTAAATAATGTTTTCTAGATCTTAAGATAAAAAAAAATTAAAAAAATTAAAATTAAGAAATGTTTTTTGGAAAATTTCTAAATTAATAGTTGTATTTGAAATTATATATATCAATTTAATCGTGAATCAATCAATCTAGAAGCAAAGTTTTTATTTTTTATGTTAAAATTCTACATATCAATTTAATCGTCAATCAATCAATCTAGAAGCAAAGTTTTGATTTTTTAAGTTAAAAATTGAAATTTATTTGCATGAATATTCTTTCTATTTTCATAAAAAATTTCTAAGTTTTGAAAGTAAAAACTAATAATATGATATATAGATTTTTATTCTATATTTCTTATACAATCAAAAGGTAGAACATAAAATAAATTTGTAAGTGTTTTTATCTCTAAAATCACCGATATACAAATCTAGATCTGAAATACAAGTTTTTTTTGTTATCTTTGAGTTTTATGCAAAATATTAGTCTTTTTAAAGATCAGGATATGAATATAGAGAAAACGGTTTTAAACATGTGTATACTTAGTATTTTCATATTTTGAAATTTTGTTTTTATTAATAAGTGATAAAAGAAGATTTATGCTCTGAATTGAGTATTTGGGTTTGAATCGTTTTATTAATAAAAACTGGGGAAAAAAATTTAAAAGAGTTTTCCTATGATATGTTTTTTCAGTTAGTAGTTTACAGAATCATTGTGAATTATTATCACGTTCAATGCTTAATTTTTTTTGAATTGAGAATAAATTTATGATCCAATATTTTTCTTCAACTCATTATCTAGATACACTTAATGATGACTTATTCAAACTAAAGTATCATCTATTTATGATGTAACGATGATATGGAAATTCTATTGAAAATCTATCAAATACTACCAATTTTTTTGCTTAACAAATTGTATTTGTTTATGTTAAACATTAGGTATATCAACTTTCTGTCATAAATCAATCTTAAAATTAGATCGAATTCTACATTCTACATCAAGGGTGATAAAAATTCAATCGGATGAAGATGTAAATGTTATGATTCATAATCTACATCAATAATATCTATTTTTTTTCCATATAAGCTATATATATATAATGAATCATGACATTTAAATCTTCATCTATGAATTTCTATTACCGTTAGTGCAAAATGTATATTGACACGACTAGTACATATATACAATACGAAAAGTTAACACAAAGATAACATTGTAAATACCACAAAATGTAATAACAGTAAATAAAATAAGATTGAGGAAAAATTAAAAATATATGTAATCACTTTTTTATATTCCAGGAGCATGAAATACATTGAGTTAGAGGCTTTCATTAAAAACTAAAATAAATTTCCTCTTGTTTAGAGATTTTTGTATTATTACACTACTACATAATATCAAATTCAGACAAAATGAATTAGGAGAATACAATATATTAAAGATAATTTTATCTGCACTAAATCTTAATAATATAGTGTTAATGTTTCCTATTTCCTTGTAAGTTTTTCAAAAAACTATACCTAATAAACTGAGCTAAATTTTCTAAAACGAAGATGATTGGATTGTAAACATAATATTAAATTTTATGAGGTTTCTTTCTTCAATCACTTTGATGTTATAACCACGATGCTTCATTAACATGTATCAAGTGTACAAGAAGGATGACGTCCATTGGACGTGCAATTCTATATACTTTTAACCATTTTGCAACATATACGTCAATTCTCAAATATGATTGTTTGTGTGTTTTCTTTCATGTCTGTAGTCTGATACGTCAAGTCTTTACATGAAAACCATTACTTTGTAAGAATTATTTTCCCGTACTTAAAGTCGAAATGATTAGCTTCTGCACACAGTTTTTAAACCTCTGAAGTGCGAGTAATAGAAGGAGCCTAAACCCTTCGTTTCTTCGAAGAAAGTGGTTAGATTAGATAGAGCCTCACCATGGCAAATAATCAACACCAACTCAACAACAATATTATATTCCTACAATCCTTGATCAAAGAAAACATCTTTCGCAATCTGTGATGTATCTTTGGCATTGCGTTTAGATACTTCTGCCAAAACCTTCGGTTGGAACACACAAACTTCAGCTTTCTTGAAAGGTGAGGAGGATGTGGAGCGCTGCTCGGACAGAACTACTTATGCAGAGGAATGGTCATCTGGGGTCTCTTTCCTTCTTGGTCTTGTGTGCACCTGGGAGTTCTTTCAGAAGGGGAACGGCAGGGCAGAGCTTTCAGGAGAAGAGAAATTACCCGTAGCCTGTTTCTGCTAACTGGGCCTCTGAGTTTTCAGTGTCATCTATGTGGATCTGAAGTTCAAGACCTTCAGATATGGTCCCTCTTTAGACGGATTAATGGTTTTGAGCAAATTCAGATGATATTCTACTAGAATGGTTTGTGCAAATGTAAAGTACAACAGCGCACCAAGCCCTAAGTCGTTCAGAAAAATTGTCCCAATGGGTTCCAAACAATTACAAGCAATTATGGAACCAACAGGATGCGATGTTTTGAAAGTCCAGCAATTGTCAGGGAAAAATTTTAGACAACGATATGTATGAAACATGCAAGTAAAATTTGGCAAGATAGAGAACCAGTTGATAATACTAGTGGCGGGGCAATGATCACGATCAAAAGGTGAGGAATTATAAAGAAGTCCCATTCTGACCTGACGCTTAAAATGATGAGATAAAAAATCCTTTGTACATGTGGACGCTCACACCTTTAATGAAACCTGTAGAAAAGTGTCATGCAGGCTAGTCCGATGCTGGCTGAACCTAGTTGAGATCAAGAGGAAGTGAGTGCAGATGTCGTTCGAACAGATTTGAAACTGAGGAGGATCTAAGGAGGAGAATCGGGGAAAGCATCGCAGGTACCCCTTAGGTGACCAAGAAGATTGGTCAAAACTTGGACTCTTTGTTTACTACACCGTGATCCCTAGGCTACACTCCACGCAAGTAAGCATGTATCATCCTCCCGCCCCCTCCTGATGTCGTCAGCTTGAAATCTATCTATGTATCTAGATTCTAACTTAGAGTGCAATTCAAGACGCGTAGGTTTTGTAGGATTGACTGTGAGGTTTACGAGCTTTCTACAACCTAGTAAAACCGAGCTTGTATTCAAAAGCCTAGCAGTCGTTGTATACTGTCAAGCATAGAAGCTGTATTCAACCTACGCAATTGTCGTCATACGCAGATCCAACGACATGCAGACTTCAAGCTCAACACAAAAGTTATACAGCACAGGGAACGGAATAATACGAAAAATACAATACTCAACTGAGAATTTTAGTATTTCAGTTACGAAGGCTCTCCAGGTTATTTTAGGAGGAACACCAGGGCCGCCCACCGTTGAAATTGAGGTAAATGGAATGCACGGGTTACTGAGAGTTTTACAAAATGTCTTCCCCCCGCTCTAATCGTGGTTGGACATTGTTATGAGATTCAAATTAGCATGATATCTGCTGCAGAGCAGAAACAAAATGCAATTAACTTGCTCGTGTGATTTGGCACAATGCATCGAAATAGCAGCCGCTGGCTGCAGCTTCGAATACAGGGCATGGCTCATTCTCCTAGGCGAGCTTTAAGCCAGGTGCTCCTGCCTGCTCGTGAAGCGATAAGATAAAATAAAGTACAGCATGTACCTGACTACAAATCTAAGATGCTATTTTCCAGGTCTTTCCAATCTCTGTCAAAGCCTCTTGCCTTCGTTGTCTTATTCAAATCATAAGCAACGCAGGATAGTTACATACATGGCCCCTTCTAGATGGATATTATCAGACTTAACGAAAGAAAAATCAAAACACATTGTTCAACAATTCCTGGTCTGAAAATGCACAGGTTGTAGAAGCAACTCAAACCGTTGTCTGCGACGGTCTGTGACCAAAAGCTGCAAGGTTTGGAGAAATATGCAACTGGTGTTTCAGTCGTAACATCGGAAAAGAGACATGCGAGAACGTGGTTGATTGCAGGTAACTTCGCTGAAGATTTTTAATGAACACGTAGTTTAGAATCAATGATTTCAAAATGTGAAGACAGACTAGAAAACCAGAAACCAATGGAGTAAAACAAGTTATGATGAGAAATTGTATTCGAGAAGAAACCTACCGGAAGTAAGGCTGAAACAAGTGATACTGCCGGTGTCGTAGCAGACATTAAACCATTGCGCGATCTGCTGCTCCACAGTACGACAGCGCAATGGTTCAAAATCTGCTGATTCTTGATACAAATGAAATTGAGAAAAGTGAGCAAATGTCGACCAATCTTCGTAGGTACATGTCTGCTGATGATTTATTCAAGTAAAGAATCATAATAGACGCCTATTGTTTGACAGAGTAACTGTAAAACAAACTCTCGCGATACTTTTGCACCTTCAATCGCAGAAAAAGAATCATAGATGAATGCTGAATGCTGAATAGAATTTGCTTCCAAAGCCTGTGCTGTATATAATGCTCCATTTCCCAGCTCTCCCTCTCTTCTATGTGTGCGCATCCTATGGCATCGGCCGTATGGTCAAGGTTTCCTGATTTGTTGCCAGAATCAATGGATCACTGGCAGCAGGTCAAAATGTTCTAAGCTACATGGATGATAATTTACAAAGGCTGCCACTTAGAGCACATGAGAAGAAAATGAATGGATTTACGTAACATCTATGTTAGTGGTCTTAACAAGGTCGTCTGCACGTCGTCAATTCGGCTGGTTGCTCGCTGTTCATATAAATTCGAAGGTAGCAACGACAGGGTAACCGTCTGCAGTTTTCTGCTGGTCGTAGTAAGGCTCTTCCCAAGATGTACAGTTGAAGGCTGATGATGAGAAAATGTAACCAGCACCAGGGTCCCGATGGTAATTTTCTCCTCCATTCCGACTGACGAACGCGTCACCGAGCAGACCCGATGAAAGAGTGGCGTTGTAACTTGAGCTGAACGGTTCACTATTCAAGTCCCCGGCCATGACTAGGTACACTCTCTCATTTTCAGGCGTGTCGAAAATGGTCTTCACGAGGGCAGCAAAATCCTGAGCCTGAAGAGCTATTTCGTTTTCCAACGTTCCGAAATGGGCGTTCAGAAGATGGACTAGTTTCCCACCGACCTCTATTTGAGCATATTGATAGCATGAGTTTTCTCCTTTGGGGGATACGAAAACTCCGGATTTGGAGTAAACGAATGGATAGAATGACAGCATGGCACATCCCCATGTATCTGACTTTGTTGGAGGGCTATACAGACTGTGCATCCTCAGCCAGATTGAAAGATAATCGATCTGCAAGACAGAACAACCAGGAACCATCAATACAAAATTCTTTTCTAGTCTCCAAAAGTCCACCGGCCGTTTCGTAAATAGACATTGATCATCCATGAATCAATCCAGGCAGAAAAGCAAATAATCTCAACTCCGCAGCTATACAGGTTATCATGAAAGTCGAGTATACCGTATCAATGTTTCCATGAACAATATGCATCGTGTCACTCTCTTGTAACCTGTCATCATACACAAAACTCGTAAGGTCAGATTCTCCAACATAAGGAATAAATCTCTCGTGACCAAGCCAACTGTTGTATTCCCCTTGTTGGGATCAATCCTCGTGAACAGAGGGTGGAGAATAATTGACTTGCTATCAAAGACTAGACATAAGCAGAAGACTTCAATATTTAAAACTCATCGAATACTCGGGAACTTCTGAGAGGATCGGAAGGCAGACATGATGAGAGGTGGTGTGGAAAAGTTGTTGGTATTCTTTAGGAAAGGCATGCTTTTCCGTGAAAGACCAAAAGCTAATCTAAGGTATGGGCAACCACGATGAAAATTCCAATAGTACAAGGCATACCCTTGCCTCGAGCATTCCAGTTTTACTTCTGGGTCAGAAGTATGCAGTACAGGCGGGAGCATTTCCTAGACTGCTCAACGTATATCAACGTATGTCTAGTTAGCTTTTCACGATGTGGACAGACACAGGTCACAGAATTTGCTAAAATTTGGTGCAGCAAAGAAGTGGAGGAAGACCTCTTACATTACAACGTGAGGTTGTTCCCGACGAAGCATATTGAGGACGGAATCGTAGTTGGCAGTCCCTGCTCGACTAAAACCTTGTTGAACATTGAAGTTCAAAACTTTCAGAGAACCACCTATAGGTAAAAATTTAGGGGCGCTGTGTTGGACACGCACTCCCAACGCGATGAATCCAATCAGTCCGACCACAGCTATTAATGCTCCAACGGCCTGTGGAAAAGTGCTGTCAGATGTGTGAATATAGACAAGTGTATCCTTTGATTCCGACACATATTGACGCGGTGGTAACACAACAAACAAAAGGAAAAAGGAGACAGAGGCAAATGCACGTTTCTCGGAAAATAAGGGTTGTTTGAGAGTCTAGGAAAGTCACTTATTAAGGCTAGTGGTAGTGAAGAGCCTTGCAAAATAGTCAGACCTAATGTATTCAGACGGAAAATTTGACAATCACGAAGTGTTTTTCACAATAACATTGCTGGTTCACAGCGGTCCTTAATGAGATTTAGATCTATCAAAATGTAGAATTGGTTTCAATGATGAAAAACTTTCTCTCTGTTTCAATAGGCGGAGGGATGAAAGCGAGCAAAGATCATGAATTATAACAGACGGCCCATAGGAATGACGCACCTGACGTCCAGGGACTTCACTATCGGAATTTGTAAGTCCTTTGAATATGCCACGTTGTGTATCCATGTCTCTTTCTTTTTTCTCTTTGAACGCAGCGAATGCTTCTCTGCCCACACCTAGTCCAATCCCTGTGACTGCAAAGCCCATCAAGATATTCCTCGTGCCACGCAGGAAGCCTAGCTCAGGAATGGATTGGTAGGCGACAAGACATGTACTCCACAAGGTAAACGTGACGTAGATAAAAACCATGATACCCAGTCCACTTCCGGGATACGTTTCCAGATTGAACTGAGCAATTGAGATCCACAGAGACGGGGCCGAGAATGCAAGCAATGCGGCTCCTACCATAGCTCCTTCTGGATAGAGCATGAATAGTATAGCACCTACTGCAGCAAGTGACCAAAACACAATGCCTTGTGTACGCCGGAGGCAGACTATCCTTGGATACTCAGTAGCAGCGAGAAGTCCAAGTGTCAGAGACAATATAGAGAACCATCCCTGTTCCACTGAAGTACCCTCCCAGCGGGAATATGAAGTTGGTGCCGTTAAGATCCAATGAGTAATGAATAAGAGACTCCCAGACCAAATTCCTCTTTGCGCCGTGCGAATACAGCTGCTTATGTTCCACTTTGTGTCTTTGTGTCTAAAGGGGTCCAGTTCACTGTCTGTGATGTCGTTGTTTCCTTGTATCTCCATCAACCACGGTACCTCCTCACCCTCCCCCCACCGTCTATTTGACATGGAAGAGCTAAGTGGTTGTACTGCAACCGGACTTTCATCCTTTCTTTCTGAATAGACAGGCGAGTCTACAACTTCCCGAAGACCACTGTCGGTCCTTGCTTCTCTGAACGCATCCACTCCAAAGCCTCCACTCCAAGCTGTAAATTTATGGAGTATGTCCTCCTTTGTGGACTTTGGTGAACTTGTCTCCGTGATCTCGTCCAACTTGTGCTCCTGGAGACTTTCCGTTCCTGATCCAACCTGCTTCAGAACAACATCTTCTGTAATGGGCTCCTGTTCTTCGTCGTGCCACTTGATATCTTGGTACCCAGATTCCTCAGATGTTCTCCTTGAATGCCTTCCAGCTGCTGTCTCCTCGTTTGCAGACTTTTGCGTGACTTCCATGGGGACTTTAGACCATTGGGGTAAGTTGTCGCCGTCACTGCTTTGCTCGCCATTTTGAAACCGACCTGCATCACCAGAGCTTTCGCTCATCGGAATGTCCACAGTTGACAACCTAATCGTCGAAGAATCGCTGGTATTCCTGTCTCCTCCATTTAAAGCTCTGACTGCTGGATTTATGACTTCCAGTTTAGTATACCTCCAAGAATCAACGGGGTGAAAGGGCAACGGATCGTCGGTTGTGATATCTTCCAGCTCAACGTCCAACTCTTCCTCAAAAAAGCTTTGCAGCTCCCCGCCTTCTGACTCAGCTAGGTCCTCGCTCAAGACCAATAGAGCAGTGCAAACTCCAGGAATTATACCGAGGAACAATAAGCCCCACCACCTGGCCACCAAGGGGTTGGCCCCGGCGTATGCCCACTTCAGCACCTGCAAATATGAAGGAGAATGTAAACAAGGTCCAAAAACATCGACAAGAAACTTCAAGTTTGAGTATACATAACATGAACTATCCTCACGAAGACAACAGCATCTAAGAAAATGATCCGCCTCTTCTCATCATCTATTAGCTTCCGCAGCATGGGGACCTAAGAAACTTCAAAGGCTGGGGCCCTAATAAAATGCTAACAAGAGTAAGAAATGGCCATATTTAGGACTGAGCTTAAAAGAGTACTTAAAAGAGGGTAATTGCAAAGCTTCATTGAACATCCAACAAACAACATCTCGAAGCACAACTTTAAACTTCAATTTCAACCAGGCACTAGAAACACTTTATGAACCAGAAGAAAACAACCACAAAAACTGGTTTCAGTGACCACCGGTGACATCTCTCTATGGTATGAGTCAGTCCATAAGACACATCTTCTGCAGGACTCAAGCTCAGTCGGCCTGAGTCCTTCATAACGGTTTCAACCTCCAACGCTACCGACTTCGTTGCTACTTCCAGCATCTACAGCGACAAGTCCCTGAACCGGTAGGAAAAGTGCTGATTTGAAATGAAGAGACTATCACCTCATCATTTCACAAGGTGAGTCTTTTTTTCAACTCCTGAGAGCTTCTAAGTCTTTGGAAGAAATTCAGAAAGTTCATGACTAGGTAGGTGAGAATTTAGACCATCCCGGTACTGAAAAGGGGTGAGATCCTGCAATCAAGGTGGTGACTATGCACCATCCTTATCAGCGATAAGCTTTCTCGTGATAAAGTGGGAGCGATTCTAGCTCCATCGCCACTGCAATACGAGAGACAGCCGTGCCAAAACGTTGTCGTCGTGTGGGTTGTGATTACACTCCAGCACTTTTCTAAAATCATTGAACCCCGCCGAAGAAACGAAGAGCAATACCACATTCAAAACTAGCTAATAGATTTAACGTAGTTAAGAAGTTATCAAATGTATTGCAACTGATGGCCACGCCTCTTGGGACAAATTTTTACTTCTGATAGTGGGCTTAACGAATCCAATTCAATAAGACAGAAATTGACACGTTCCGTTAATCAGAAAGTATGGGTTCTTTCGCAAGAAGGCTAGCTTGGTCAAACACAACCAGCAAGCTCTAGCGATCTAAAGACTGCTGGTAAGTTTGGTCACAGTATCCTGGTCAAATTTTGAAGGGCATGGCTGCTTGGACGGATATAGAAATGTCTTTCGTAGGAAGAAGAAAGAATCTGCACTTTCTCACAAGCGACACAGAGAGCCCTAGTCTTTGCATTGGTTGAAGAAGGCTCGTGGTATATTCGTTATCTAGACACTGACACCCAAGGCCTCTGAAAGAATTGCCATTTGGAAGAACGGCGACTAGGAGATGTTTTGGAATCTGCTTTGTGATAAGCCTGAGCGGTGATTCACTTGGGTGGGATAGCCATTGCGACATTCTTCTGTACGTTAAAATCGGCTTGGTCTTCTCAATTATACGCCCTCTTGATGTCCCTGCGAACGAACTCTATAACCACCATTACATGCTCAAATGGTGTATCAGAAACGGGCATGAAAGCAATCGTCTTACGATGGGTAGATGACTTCAGTTCCTAGGATTTTATTCTGTCTGCCTGAGCACTCAACTGGTTAAGCGTTGAGCACAAAGCACCTGCAACAGAAGAATGCCGCCAACCATTCCAAACGCAGTACGCTCGCGGCGAGCAGTCGTAGCAGCCCACATTCCTTCCCATACATATATTCCCAAAAGCCCAACACCTGTGGCAGACAAGGTAACTCTCCTGACGGCCGAATGGTACCACTGACCCCATAATCCAAGCACACCTCCGATAACCAGCAATGCCCGAGACCATGGATGCTTCTCAAGGAACTGGCGGAAGAAAGGTCGACCGACTACCACCGATGGAATGAAGAGGTATGCAAGAAAGCCCAGCTGCGGAGCCAAGTGTCCTGCACGCAGTTGAAACCAGAACACGTTGCGTAGAAACTCTACTAGCACTGTCCAGTAGATGAGTCCAACGTATGACTTTCCGAGGAGCTCCAACCATAGCTTCTGCGGCTTCCTCTCTTTGTACAACTGCATCCGCCTCAAGGGGCTATATCTACCCCACGCACCCATCTTTCAGTAGTAATCCTTCGACCCGGCCTCCTTCAGTGGCATGATCGTCATTGCCCGTCGACGAGTCCGATCGGCACCAATGCCATCTCCAGATCAAAGGATCCACTACTCTGCAGCAGCAGCACCAGCATCCAAGGCGATGGGTGCCATGATTCCTGCATAAGTATGGAGGAACGAGAAAGAGAAAGAAGAGGACGAGGAATCTGCGTCTGTCTGTCTGTCTGTCTATGAGTCTAGAACTGCTCAGCCTCTGCGAAGTCGTCCCAAAAGAGGAGTTCCCAAAAGCTCAGACAGCAAACGCAACGAGCTAATGAGCCCAGAAAGTGAGCCAAAAAATCTACAATGTTCAAAAGCGAGGTTTTCATTTGCCTGTCCGGAGATCAGTCTCAGAAATTTTGGATATGGAGAAGCAAACCAACTCCAGCCAGCCCAGCCCAGGCCCTCGTCGTCCTCGTCCTCGTCCCCTCTTCTCCTCTCCTCTCTACTCCACACCGCTCCACTCCCCGCAACGCCTCTTCAAGATCGGTCAATGCAATGCACCAACACCGACCCCCAAAAAAAATTAATGAGAAAATGCAAACAGCGCCAGCGCCACCTCCACCCAGTCCTCGCAACCCCGGATCTATCTTCTCTCACTGCCCCACCAGCTCATCTCTACAATTCCCAACAAAATCAATTCGCCCCTCCCGCCCGCTTCCCCCGCCACCCTTGAGTACCGCTCACCTCTCCCTCTCTCTCTGACTCGCCCCCGGCACGTCACCCCACCCACACTCACAATATCCCCTCCGCGCACTGTTCGATACCCGCACAACTCAAACAAAATTCAACTGTCTTGCTGCCTGCCACAAAGCGAGCGACTTTGCCACGCCCGATCTCGAGACCGCATCCAGCCCAGCCCAGCCCAGCCCAGCCTAGCCCAGAACATCCCCGACACCGAATATATCGATCGCCTTCACTTCACTCCCTCAGCCTAGATAGCCTTTTTTTTTTCCGCCCCCCTCGTGTCGCTTTTTTTTCCCTTTTCCATTTTCCGTCCCGCTTTCTCCTGGCGCCAATGTGCCTGCTGCCTGCTGCCTCCTCTACTCGACCATACGACAAACGACTGATTCTGCGAGAGCAGCAGCAGCAGCAGCGATCGGGAGCATGGCGATGGCGTTGGGCCCCGCACGATCGCATCCACCTCGCCCCACGATCGACATCTTCCACGCAAAAAGCTCCAGGACCTCGCTGCCTGCTGCCACTCTCGGCGCCATTCTGCCACTCCGCCGCTCCCGAATGTGCCTCGTTCGGGGACGCTGGCGCGTCTCGGGCCCGTTCTTGTTTTTCCACCACGTTTTGCGTTACAAAACCAATCCGAATTTCAAATTTGGCATTCTTCGCCAGACATGGCCGCCATCTCATCTCTCATCTCATCTCCGCACGCTCCTCTGGCCCCTCTTGCCCGCTGGCTGCCCGGCTCCAGGACAAAGCATCCGCCTGACAGACACACGGTCATGCGCTTTTCCTTCCTGCTCCCGGGGGCGAATGGCGCAATTTCGGCCTCGATCTGGACTGTCTCTTCTACTACATGGCCTCGAAATGCTTCGGCTCGTCCAGTCAGCACGTCCATGTGGCGTGCGCGCATCGCTCTCGCTGCGGTCAGCGTGACTGGTCGGTCCGCGAGTGCTCACGGGGCAACACGATTTTCGCTCTCCATGCGGCCGCACCCTAGTTTTCGCCCGCGCTTTCGGTCCGTCTTTCGCACGACGGCTGCGATCCACTGCGGCCGGGCGGTCGGTCCAACTTGGCTGGCAGTTGACTTTGTCGCTGTCGCGACTGTGGTGGAGGGTACTGTCTGACAACAATCATGCATTCATGCTCTTCATGTGATGTGCTTGCGATCTGGCTCAAGAACGACCCATCCATCCATCCTCATCATGATGCCCCCATACGCTTCGCGTTTACCCACAGACTGCACATCGAACTGTATCGGAGGCGTGAACGCGCTCAGCCTTCCGATGGAGCTATCTCGTGTCGTCGATTTAGAATATTCTTAGAATCTTTAGCGCGTGGCACGTGTCCGAGTAAGGCAAGCCGCAGCCCTGCACATCATTCCTTTTCTCTCTTGCATGGGACGAGCTGCGAAGAGAACTCCTAGCCGTCGGATTCGCATCTTATTGAGAGTCCGGGCATCCATCTGGCGCGAAGCTTTATTCATGCTCATGAGGGGCTCGTTTGGACAGAAGCGTTTCCTTCATGAGAGGTTCGTTGTTCGAAGATAGATGCGCAATGATCGATGGATGGATGGGTCCATCGGTCCATGGATGGCGAGTGAGTAACGCGTTACCGAGTCTGTCGGTCACTCCGGCACCGGGGCACCGAAAGCGCATGTCCCTTGGCCCGACGCGGGCCCTGTCATCATCGAGGGAGGAAGCTGTTGCAGATGCATCCTGTCGCATTTACAGCGCATCCTCTTCTTCGCTAATGCAGTTGCTCTTCGGGGAAAGCGAGGCGTGCGAGTAATGCTCGCGCCTTCACGGACACACAATTCTTCGAGGATCCGGGATTGTTATGGGACGGGTGTTGCTCGGCTCGGGATCATTGATACAGAGCGCTTCAGGGGATGGGATGTGATCTGATCTGTCCAGGGGTCTAGCTCGTCGACCTCGATTCAGTTTGTTACCTGCAGTTCATTGCTGTAAATTGACTACCCTCACGCGTTGATACTGTCCAGAATTATGTCATCCTTACATCTTCGTCCAGGTAAAGAATTAACTCCAGTGGGGCCAGGAATGGGTGTTTCGCACCGAATGCAGAAAACAAATATGGCATGGCATGTTCTGGAATTACAGAATGTTGAACTGCTAGCGGTTAGGAACAACTTCTGGAATCTGCTTCTGGATTCTTAATCTGCAAGTTGGATGGTGACAACGATATTATCCTGAGCGAGCTGCAACGAAATCCTCATGATGATGCAAACTCACGTTTTTGTTCACCGTACCTGTATGAATCATTCCGAAGACCTCTTTTCTTCACAACGATGAAATCAAGCTCGACTCTAGTGTTGTGCAAAAATATTCACATTATTCGCATGATCATACATTGTCATAAGACTTCCAAGCGAGTTAATATCGCCTCGGTAACGTGGTGAAAGGTAACTCCAGGCGGAGATTACCCTATTTCGTTACCTTTTATGTACAACAACGTGTTCGGTAGTAGTAAAAGTAGGAAATACGAACAGAAACATGTTGTAGACATATTTTGCCGTCGATTCTGTTGCGTTCGAGAAAGACATCGGGGAAGATATGACATATGTCTCAAAACACGTTTCGTAACTCAAAGGATAAGACACGCTCGTTAGCCTCAGCCTCTGTCCATTTTCCATCTTCGTAAGTGACATATCCTGTACGTCTTGAGATACAACGATATGTTGAAGATAGAACTAAACTTTTTGAACTCCATCATCTTTATTTGTTTCTCAACATCACTCTTCCACGTGCATGAAAAGGTGAGACCTCCACAAAACAACAGGTACTCGGTAAAAGTTCTTCTGTTGCACTATTCGCGTCATGTATTCATCAAGTACTAGGAACCTTCATGACCAATGGTGTATCCTTAATCGATCAATTTCTGATTTTATCTCGTTTTGGAATCTTGCGTTAACCGCACTCACAGTGAATCATCCATTCTGTCATCCTTCCCTTCCTTAAAAAATTTTTTTGCTTTCCAGCAGAAAGTAAGGCAATTAGTGTAAATCATTCCATATTATCATCTAATCTCTAAATCTCTTCCCGCTTGAAGTACTTAGGAAACCACGTTCTATTTCTCTAAGTTTTAGTTTTGACACCACAAGGCGGGTTATTTAGTGACGCCGCATTTATGTTACAGTATAGAGAAGTATCTTTTCTAGAGTCGACAAGTTTGTGAAATCTGATTTGCAACTTAGTAGCCACTGACAAACAGCACTCAGATTAAAAACAATATGGCAATTCTTTTCACAGAAAAAATATATACAACTGTCCTTTCAGAAGTGGTTGAGTGTAGTGTTGTATCAAGAAACAAGAAATATATTCAAACCAATAGCATGTAGTTAGAACAAACTTTATTTGACGTGAAATAATATATGGATTACATTCTATATTGATTATAATTTTTTAAATAATCATATTTTTATATTTCAAATGAAATGGTCTCAAAAAATTAGTTACATTAAAACTGAATATATTTATAAAATATATTATACCATTTTTTCAACATTGTTTGATTGAGATTATAAAAAATAATATTATGTTACGAATCACAAATCATGATGAAATGACTAAAAATCTCTCCATCTTTGAAATAACTTTGAAAATGTATCAAAATTTCCTTATGTAAAATATCTCAATTTTTGACAAATATGAATGTCAATTCAGACTTTTCAAACTTAAAAAATTGAAAATTCATCATTTTCTTCACAAGAAACTGAATCCATATAATTATACGAAAATCCATATATTCATTTACTTCTTTCAAAATCAAAAGTTTTAAGTGCAAGAACAATATTCTTAACACTGGCTGAAGAATTTTCCAATTGTTGTTGTAATTGTTTTAAACTTTCCAATTTCGACATTTTGACGAGACAAATGAACTTCCGGTTATTTTTCTTGTCAACATGTCTAAGTTTCTTTCCCACGATAATTATCACGCAGTTCCTATTAGACGAACTTCTACTTTCCTCTCCCAAACTTCATGGCTGCCATCTAGTTTGCTAAACATTTGAAATGTACAATTATGTAGTTCGGATAATTAACCTTTTTTTCCACTCTACTATGACTCTTTGAAATTCTCAAAACTCCTTATTGCATTCTTGACTTGGTTAATAATCCAATTCAATGCAACAAAGTTTGGAATCAACCTAAAACTCAAACAAACTAATGATGACAAACTAAAACTCCACAAGGCTTCATACATATGTAAACATTCTCTTCGATTTCTCTCCACATGGATCTTCACGACAATGTCCGCTAGCAGCCCATATGTTCTTAATCTTGTTCAGCTCGAGTTCGTCAACTTGCTCTTCAACTCCTGATTGCTGCATGACTGTTTTGGATATTGTCGATGCAATCTCTTGAGTATTCAGAGAAGAGAAGTTTGGACCTTTTAGGGTTATGGAATTTAAATTCCAAAAGGTTGGGATTTCCGACGGCCGACTGTAGCAAGCATGATTATAGTTTCAAGTCATCAGAAACAACGACTCAAAACCTTAACCATGGCCATCGCTTTCCGCGTCAAAAAAACCCTACAGATCCATAGTTTAAATTCCTTAACCCTAAACAAATCTAAACTCCTTCACTGCTCAAGAGGTTTTGTCGAAAACATCCCTACCAACCTTGCGCACATCGGGAGTCGAAGATCAAATCAGCAAATTCGAGTACCAATTGATGTATCAAGAAACGAAGGATCCCCTGAACACCACCATCGTAACACAAAAGTATATACACGACGCAAGACACTAGGATAGGTGGTTCACCACTATGTCCACGGGAATTAGAAAGTTAACCTAAAACCTAAACAATATTCAGGGGAAGCTACGATTTTCGCTCCTTTACAATATGAACCAAGAAAACCTAAACCTCACTAAGTCTAAACCAACTAGAATTAACCTCAAACTTGAATTAATACTACCAGATAAGACTATGTGGCCACTACTTTCACATATCTTGCCTATGTATATATATATCAAGTAAATTCAAAACAAATAAAAAAATCCTTTACAATTCCTGATCTTTGCTACAACAAAAACCGAAGTGATTTTACATGCACATTAGCGACATCCTTTCGTATAGAAGTGGAGCAGGACGGTATGTGGAGTCTCTTTACTGAAATTGCTCTTGGTCAGAATTGGCCGTGTATTGGATATACTCTCTCATTTTTAAGCTTGAGAACAACTACTCATAGTGAGATTCGACTCTAGCCGCACAAGTCCTGTCTTGCCATCTCTCACCTGTAGCCGGATAACTGGATCTGCTTCCTTCCAGTTCACCTGAAGATATTACGCAGATTCAGAAAACCAGAAGTATGTCGGGAAATCGTCTTAAATTGGCGCGTCTCTTAAGGATGGTTTGACAAGAATGAACCTATAATTCTAGTAATTTCCTGTCATAGCCTGAAGACCATAGTCCATTCAAGAAAATGGACTATGGTCCATTTTCTTTTAGACATTAACTGCAAAGAAATTACAGATACATACAGTAGAGCTCTTCTTGAAAATGACACTTACTTCAATCATTCCAAATGAGGGGCCCCTCACAAAGCTACACGGCCCGCCTTCTCTCATTCCTGTTGTATCCCTTCTAGAATCTGCAAAGATAGAGACGAGTTTGACGTTGGCACTTCGTTAGAGCTGGCAGTTCGACGAATATTGAAACCCAGTCGTATGAAGTCCATGCTCTAGCCAACCTGAATCCTTGAATTGTTCAGTAACATAAATGACTGCCAGCAGCTTGAACAAGAATAGAATAGACATTGTGCACAATGAATACCTACCATCGCAGCTGAAGTTGGCCCCAGTACTTGTAGTCAGACCACTTGCCATGACCTGACGCACCGATGAGGAGATCAAATGAGTTGCTTGCTTGTTCGAAATGACAAGGCATTACATCATCTAAAGGGCCCTTCCACAGACCAAAAACTCCTTACAATTTCCAGTCATAGCCTCGAGGTCATGCGGAGATCCACAAGGTTGGACAACAATTCTATATGCTCTTATCCATACTCTTCATCGTATCTTGATATCTTCACCATTGGACTACACTTGACGTGTAACTAAAGACCCAGAAAACTCATGTTTGGTAGCTGCAACTGTAGATGAGATGTTTGATTTTCAATCAACACTTTGAAGCCCCAGAACTTACTTGGAACAAAGGGTATGAGAGCTGTACATCCTCATAATATTTGGAATAAATTTGTTGTTTTGGCTTCAAAACCTGAAATTCGAGGTCACAACATTCAATAAGTCGTTTCGCCTGTAAGATTGCCGTAACACAACCCTCCAAGATGACAAATCATAAGACAGTCATAAAACGACTTTGAGTACAACTTGCCAATGCTTTAAGTTTAGCCAATGAAAATACGAACGACAGTCATCAAATAAGCTTGGATCATGTTCTACCCGAATTCACTTGGGTGCTATGACACCTCATGACTGGAATCAGGAGCAAGTAAGTAGGAAGGTCAAACTGAAGAAAATTGTTGTGACCCTGGTCTTTGATCCAGGAAGAGTATTCTTATGCGTTATGAACTGCTCTGAGAGGAATCACCAAACTTGGTAATTCTCGACTATTTGAAGACATATTTGCCAACAATGATGTGGTTAGAAAGCAGCTACGAAAACATCACTCCAGAACTTATACACACCCGGATATCAGAATAATGGTAGTCTCCAGTTAGAACCACGACACATCCGGGTGCAGTTGAAAGAAGATGAAGTAGTTGAAGCTGCGCAGGTTTGTAACATTCCCAGTCATCTCCAGAGCACATGCATGTTGAGCTGGTTCCTTCATTATTCCAATCGCACATCTGTATAATGTTGGAAATGTCAGTGCCTAGCAGCATTGCCAATCGTTTGTCCTATATATCGTTCTTCAGTACATCAACACAATTCTTCTGGGAAACGCAATCATCAGCAACGTGTGAAAAACGAAATTAAAAAGAACTCCATAGAAACAGGTTCTCAACAAGCAAACCAGACTACTCAATCATTTGATATGACAGTAAAGTAGCAGTTACTTTGAAATCTAAATAAAATATACATGAGACGCGTTTGTATTTCCGAGAATCTATGAACCCCAGTCGTTTCTGGATTAACTCACACTCCGGTCTTCAAAATGAAAAGAGCGATACTGTACTTAAAGGTACTATGTTTTACGTGCTAAAGCATATTACTGCTCTTCAATATAGCATTCTATCCTTCCTATGATGAAACTGTCCTGATACATGTCCCTCTAACGGTGATTATACGGCTACAATCGTTCCCGATGTACTTTTCCTTTTATTCCGATTAGACGTTGGTTTATATTTTACAAGCTGGTTTCTCTTATTTCACAATCGATCTTGTGGATCAATGATTATGCTCGTTGCACGAATTCCGATTCCGGTTAGCCGAATTATGTTCGATAACCACGCGTTGCATGTTTGTTTACAAACGAAGATTTTGATTTGAGTGTGAGACCGTGCGAGGCATTTTGGGTTTAATATCATTCCATTGCCCAAAACGGGTTGACAAAGGTAGGATACAACAAACATACCAGGAAAAAACAGAGCACTCAACGACAATTTAGATGTAGTTAGCAGTTATTAGCTGCAAAAATGAGTTACACATAATGGCAATGTCGTAGGACGAAATGCTGAGAGCATATGAACAGATGCAGACCTGCGGTTGCAGGTCCCCGAGCAGAACGGAACTGGATACCACCAATTTCAGAGGAGCAGTTGATTTGGTTATGGACTCTTGTAGCCATAATCTTTGCTCTCGGCCGAGTACCTGAAGGGAAGAAATACTTAAAAGAGTTATATTGAAGGATATGATCAAATGTTTTGCACTAAAAGCTATCTACGGAATTCATACCACATTCTCAAAAGGTATCAGAGAATATGAAAATTACATACATCGCAGAAGGAACTCTCATCTCGACCGTCAAGAAGCTCTGAGCCTGTGGCTTCTACGAGGTTCCCTTTTGAGTCGACTATAAGAGAACGAGTACCAAACTGATGTGAGCGTGGGTCACATGCCTCTTTATATAAACTCTTCTTTTTGTTGCTTTCCTGCATGCACCAACCTTTGACAATATCAAACACAATTAGAAACAGGAGTTAAAAGAGAAAGGATAAACCTTATAATTCCAGGTTGCAGTTCGGCGAGTATCGTAAAGTGTTCGGTGTTTTCCTCTTTTTACCGAGAAGACCGAGCTTAAGAAAGTAAATTCACAAAGAGCAAATTACATTGATATAAGACTCACCATAATAGATATGATCGTCTTTGATACAGCAAGATCCCTTTCCCAACTCTCCTCCATGCAGAAAATCATTGCACCTGTCGAGCACGAAAAAAGGCGTCATGAATAATGATGTAGTGATCGATCAATGCTAGAGTCCAACACTCTCGCGACCAAGCAATAGTACTCGTGGTCCTTTTCGGTCTACAGTAATTCACGAAGAATAGAAGAGGACAGTTCTGTGGAAATTTTTCAAGGGTATTATACAAATTTGTACTTCCGAGTTCTACCAGACACTGAAGGATGGAAATACCATCTAAAAACCTTTCTTTTCAAAGCAAGAGCTAGAAATAAACCAATTTCAACACGAGGAGAAGGCGACAGCAACAGCTAGGTTTGACTGCTTAAAATTGATTTAATAACATCTACACAAAAGTGAAACGTATGGACCCTGAATCTGAATTCCTTGCAGGTGACAGTAAGCCACAGATGAGGACCATACCATGCACGTCTCGGGTGATGAGGATAACTCGACAAGACTTGTTCACAATATGTTCGCCGTATGTGGCAAGGAAGAGTGTCCCGGTTGTACCGCTCGTCTAGAAGGAACACATCAACCTCTTTGTTTGGGTGACCTTTATTCAGAGTGTACTGCGAAGAGTCCGACAATATTCGTACATAGGTAACTTGTTCGCAAACCAAAAATTCAGAACAAATTGATTTGTACAAGCTATAATGCACGAACCACGTACAAAATCTAAGAAGACAACGCTGCAAATGAAGAAAATGGAGGAGGATGCTCTTGTAAAGAACTTTCTATATTACTTTCCACTCTATTCCACGACCTCTGTTCCGCCTTGGACTTGTGCTGGATTCACCGATGGCATCCAAAAATATTTGCTTCACGTCATCTTTGCGTGGAAGACGTTTGTTACCATTGTCCCTAAAAAATCCCCAAGAATCCTCCGCCATATGAAATCCATGTAAAAGAGATGCGATAGCTATAGCCGTCTAACATAATATCATTCACTTCCAGTGACAATTGCTATCAACAAAATCAGAATTTCATACCCAGAGCGCTTAGCTCACTGCACAACGAACTAGTTCTTAGTCGTCACTAAAACTAAACTTAGAACCATTTCACAAATAGCTTCAACTGCATGATGTTAGAAGGGGAGAACCCATACCAGCTATAATCGTGATCATCGTATGTACCGAAGATGGGCCTCGGGCAAATTGTGGGATCTGTACCGGTTGGTGGATGCAAACCCTTGGCGCGATGACCGGGGCACATATAAGCCAAAAACTACAAAAACACGAAAGATATGCATCTTTCGTCAGCTGGGAGTACGCAGTCTATGCAGTGGCAAGCGGTAAAGTGACTTTTGATGGAAAAAAGCGTATTGACGACATTCTTGATCGTCAGTTCGAGATCACACCTGGGCATAGTCAGGATTTGAAAGCTGTGCTTGCATTCGACTAAGAGCGTGGTCCACATCACCTGCAGAACAAAATCGAATTATTACCTTTCAGAGAGTTGTTGGCTTCGCTTCGTGGAAAGAAGAAGAATGCTACGATTGAGAATGATCACAACCTGTGTATGTTTACCTGCCATACACGAGTACGGAGCCTGATGAAGCCAATCACTAGTGCAATTACAATGTGGATGACTTGGAAGAGCTGCACAGTTGACACGGGGCTCGTCCATGTATGCCATATCTCCTAACCTTTATCAGGAAGAGCCAACAATAAGTGGAATTTTAACCTACTATAGAACATATGTTAGTTTTTGTTCAGAGATCTACCATTTACTACTCTCACTAGTTACGTTACTTCCTTTACTCTAAGCTTTGCAGATCTGCTAATTTCTTCACTCAGATTTCATGCCTTCAGTCAATACATGATATATTTGATTCTTCTAGGCCTCAACCTCTCATTCTCAATGAATACATTGATTTCGAGGTCTTATACATTAGTACATTGATCTCGAGGAAACCATTTATGGCCATCTCTCCACATATATTTCTTTGTCTCAACCAAACTAAACAAGAGGCAAGTAAGTCTCTGAGAAACTAGATTTACGAAGGCATAAAACAGAAGATTTGAATAGGAAGGAAAGAGACCAGATCCAAGCATCAGGCTCACTGGGAATGACACCATGAACCCAGACGGGTTGTGGGCTGTAGTCATACGCAGTGCAAGATCCGAAAGCAATTTTAGAGACCATTCTCTCACGCACAGCAGGTGGATATAAAACCCGGTCTCTCTCTAAAGTGATTATGCTCACAATTGAAAGAATCGTAGACGTCACAGAAATAAATCCCAACAGCATCAAGCATGCAAGCCTCCAGCCCACCTGCAAAAGGATCCGGCCACTGCTTGGTAAGACCAAAAAGGATCCAAGCTTACTGGAAGATGACCTCGAAGCTGATACGAGCATCTCAGCCAATAAATTTCATGCTGAAGTTCTTTCGGGTACAAGGAAAAAATGCCAATGTCTACCTACTCTCGACTCAGCATACAACATCAACACCTGACGAAAAAGTGGACTAACCTTGTGTCTGGAGCCTCTCCTTCTTGGACCATGTACAGGATCGAAGTGACCGATGCCAGAATCACTGGATTCTCCAGATAAGAGCTGAACATTACTCTCAGGATCCAAAACTCCTTGCTTCCGTCGATCCAAAGGCTGACGGCCTCTGTCTCTGTCCACAGAAGAGACAGAGGCACTCATCTCCACACCAAGAAGTTCCATCTGGTCCACAGCTCCCTGCCTTCGCCTGTCCATGGTCTGCGCTTGCAGATAAATATGAATGAGCCCTTGACAGATTCTTCACTGAACCTTCTTAATTGAAATCACCTGATGCTGATCCAGAGTACCGAAACTATGTCAATCAGCCGATGTCGTAAGCCTGTCAGCAAAATTGTGACGTGATACACGTTCTTTCAGTCCTGGGAGACACAAAACACAAAACCCTCTACTTCAAGGACAAGTCTCCTCTAAAACCCCTGGGCTTCCCTGCGCTGGCAATTTACAATATTCAAGGACCGGCGGGCCATTTCGAGTTCGAGTCCACGAGCCTCCAGTGAAAGCAACTTCATACTGACAAAACTCGAGATCTTTACTCGAGATCTTCTTTTCTTCTGTAAATTTCTGCCGTGCTATTCAGTGTGCCCTATCCGAGCAGTTTGAATTCCCCCACTTCAAAGGATAATCTCCAAGCATTGGGCATCGGATCAAGCTCGGGATGATTCCCGTATTTCATCGGATGGAGTGCACTTCATACCATGCACGTCATCTTCCCAGACCTCCAATTCCCCATCAGACACGAATTCTCCACAAGTCTTTGGAAGTGGATTCACTGCGGAATATTCTGGGACACTGCAGTCCGAGTCCCATCCTCAGCTCATCAGGAAATGGATGGTCACTTAAATGATTCAGCATTGCCATAGATTCCACATTCCATGGCTTTGATCCTTCATGCCGGTTTGAGCTCATAATTGATGACTCATCTCATGCTGAACCAGACTCAATGTTGGATTCATAGTTTTCTTCTTCAACTTCTATTCAGCACCTTGCTCTATTCATATCTTCACGTTTATTTATTTTCCACATCGCTTACTGATATTGGAAGATTGTTTTTGGTTTAATGTACTGTATTATCTGTCATCAGTCTCCTGATATTTTCTGTTTGGCCTGATTCCTCTCTTCAGTTTCTGATTTGCAAGAACGTTACATTTTGTCTAATCAGTATTAGGTTGTTCTTGCAAAGAAACGCAAGTTACTTGTTAAACTTCATTCACGCTAATTAGATTTACATCCGAATTTGCTTGCTACTGATTTTGGATTTTAAGGTTTCAATATTTAGGATTTCCACATGTGATGTGTCTTGTCGGTGGTGGTGGTGCATGAGGAAGCACAAAATTTGAGCATTGCTCAAATTTCTTGATTTGGTATCTTGTGCTAACTGTAGTTTCATTCTTCGTGAGTGGTACATTTTTTTTACCTGGAACTATCAAAGATTGGAAAAATATCCCCATAGGTTATGAGTTGATCACTTTATATGATCGGTGTGTCTTACCTCACACTACTAAAAAACACATATGAACGATGCACAATCATTTAAGTTTGATTATTCCTTCTTGCTCATGAGATTTGATATCAAATAAACATACGTCATGTAAAATGTGTACAAACATTAGTAAAACATTAGTAAAACAAATAAAAAACATCGATTACATAACTGATTCTTACATATATATGTTGCAAAATTTTGTCGATATTCATATTCAAATTGTATTTCATAACTTTACTCGTGTATTCAATGATGAGCCTGAACAAGCTAATCTCTTGCCACTTTATTTATTTGCTTATAAATTCATGGATGTGTTGGCATGAATCTTCTGTATTTTTAGAAGTTTAAAGATAACGTTTTCATAAGATTAGAAGATGATGTGATATTCTTGTGGATGTACTAAGGTGTTTTTTTAAATAATTCATTTTCACACGAATGTTTATTGTACAAAAAGGTAATATTAAGTGATATATATGTATTTCACAAGTTAGTTTCAATAATTTTTGGTGAAATGTATTTTAATTGTGAAATGATATGATACATATCACGCAAGTTAGGAATTGAATTCAGTCACAAGATTCTTTCAACTTTTTAAAAATGAATTGTGGCTAAATTATAATAGTGATGCTCAAAGCTTATGTTCATTATATGGCTATTTGTATATCAGAATTTTATATTTTTTTGGTTTTTATATGTTGTGTAATGTAAATTTTTATAATTTTGAAATTTCAGTTGTGTTCTTTTGATATAATTATTGTTCTATTTATATAATATCATTTATGGAATAAAAGACATATTATCAATATTTTTTTTGAATTCTTTTTCATTTTTATTAATAAATTTATCCAAACGATTTCACTTCATACATTTTATATGGCTATAGTACTTATAATTAAAAAAATTTATTTTTTCATTAAAATATATGAAAAATTTTACTAAATTTCTTATAAAATACATTAATTTCCTATCATTTCATTAAAAAATGGTTGTTATTTATTAGTCATGAAGCATTATACAGGTGCCAGAGTGGGCTGGACGTCCCAACGGGGGGATCAATAGCAGCGGCAGGTGGAGTCGCAGTCGCAGCCAGGGCATCATTCGTCGCGCCGCCTCTGCGACGAAGGTGGTTTCGTCACGGACGGCAACCTCTGGAAGAGCCTGTTACTGGGAGCTGGCTTCGTCGCGGACGGCAGCCTTTGGAAGAGCCTGTGACTGGGAGTGGCGCTGCCGTGCCGGGGGATGGGAACTCCCGACAGACTGGAGGTCGGTTGAATGACGACGGCGTCCACGAAGAGGCCGCCTTTCCACCTGGCGCCCGTCACTTCGAGCATCGAGAAATTGATCGCGACGGCCGACTCCCTGTCCGCGACGGTAAACTCCCCCACGTCGTACTCCTTCCAGCCGCCGCCGACGCTGCGGACTTGCAGGTCGCAGACCGTTGCGGGTTGCACCGGCGTCCGGCGGTACGCGCTTTGCCTGCTAGCGTCGGTGTGGAAGGAGAAGGTGACGGGCTCCGTCCAGCCGAAGACTCTGCTTTCGTCGTCGTCCCAGCGCAGCCGCCACGACAGTGTGTATCTGCCCGGCTCGAAATGGCACGTGGCGGTTCCTCGGAGCTCTAGCCAGCAGACGTCCCGCAGATTCGCGACGCTCCTGGACAGTGATCCCGGAGTCTTGACCCTCTTCCAGTACGAATCTACGTCCCCCCAGACGATGGCCAGACAGTCCTGGAAAATGTAGTGCCGCTCGTACGCGTCGATGATGCCCTTCTTCTCGACGACGAGAAAGTCTAGCGATTTGCGGTCGGCCAGGAACTTTGAATGCCTCTCCTGTCGCTGCGCTAAGTGTCTGCACTTCTCGCATTCAGAGTACCACGAGCACGCCGGGAGAGGTGCGACGGTGCACGTCGTCCTTGCTGCTGCCGGGGTGGTGAGCAACATAGACAGGTAAACGTGAATGTTCGATCGTAGCCCTGATAATTCCTTATCAGCATGACTATGCCACCGGAGAAAGCTGAGCAAGTAGGTCCAATCGTACATCGTACATCTCGTCACAGCTTCAAGTCCACACTCCAGAAAGCCTTGAATCCTCGCTACAGCTTCTTCTGCCTGCCCAACTTCAGCCGCCTCGAGCTTTCGTCTCGTCACTGCCATACAGAAAACGGACTCAGATTCATCAGATTACACAAGTTCCTCAGATTGGTATAAACCATACGTTTCCAGATACCTTCCTTCGCATGTTGATAAAGACATGCGTATGAGAAATAATCTGCGTATTATCTCCTCTTTACTGACAGGATGATAATATGCAAACCAGGTGGAGACCTGCACTTCTTTATTCACAGAGAGATTGAGAATATAAGATACAGACCACCCATCGCATTGGCATGTGTCTCCTCACCACCAGGTTCTTTGCAAAATGCATGTGCATGCGAGGTTTCGCCTGTATTCTATGATTCTTAAGGGCAATGAACCACCATAGCTTTGAAACGATCGTGAACGTTATCGTGGTAGAAGTCTGAGATGCAGTGAAAATCTTATTCTGGTGGAAGATAACACATCAAGATCAGATGCCAGCTAGTGCTTCTAACTGAGGATGTTGTGGCATCGTCTCTACTCCTCCGATGTGAATCTCAACGTCTTTGTAAAGCACGTCGAGCTTGATTCTTCCTCCTTGACAAGGCTGGATTAAATCTATGACGTTGCATGTCTAGAAAGGAAAAGAAAGGGGAGAATGATGGTCCGAAATACCTTGAGCCAAATCAGACAAATATGTACAAGCCTTAATGTTACTCGTCACCCTTGCTGCGGCAGAAGAAATCTGATTACAGAGATTGACACATGCAGATACTATTCTGCTCGCACCGGGTGGATCATCTGAAGGGGCCGCGGCGAAAGTCGTATTAACCATCTTGCCCATGGACATGTACACGTTGCTTCTGGTGTCGATCTCGAACCAGCTCCAAACAGCAGCTTTGACGACGGAGAGCTTCGGCAACTATCCGATGCTCGCAATGCTTCGGTGCTTCCTGATGCATGTGCAGGGTACAAGAGTCCTGAACGGACCATTACTTATAAACCTCGCCTCAAGGCATCTTCATGACCGTACATTCTCATTCGTTTACGGTACTGTGTTTGGACATATGTATCTCTTGCCCAGAAAATTACGATCAGCTACAAAACCAAAATAAATGTCACGACTTTCCGAAAAAAATAAAATTTGTACTGCTACGCAATTTAGGAAAGAGGACTTTCTCTTCTATAGGACACCTCTTCCGGTTTGAGGTGATATTGTGTTGTGAGCTTTTTCTACATCGAATTCACGAGATAATAATTTTTACACATTATTTAGGGACTGTGTATTTGTTTTTCACAATTGCTTGTCATTTCTTATCGAGATATAAAAATACAAAAAGACAAGTTAGAATATTATCTTCAGGACAGCCACAGGGTCTGCCAAGAAAACTTCTTGAAGAGATCGTATAAAGCCTATCGCCACTGCAAGTAGGAAGCAGATAGAGTGACGCTACATCTTTGAATTAGTAGGTTAAACCTTGATACTCTAGAAAGAATAAAGTGAGCTACAACTGAAATGGTTGCAATGATCTTGTAAAGAGTAAACTTATACACAATCGTAATCAAGTTTCAAATCAGTCATTCATGTATCCTTGATATAATCTACTCGCAACTGAATCCTTTACTTCACAAATTTGCATAAATAAACGTAACTTTCTTTTCCACGTCTTGTATTAGATATTAATATTAATTATATTCAATGACACCGCTGGACGCGGTGGACGATCGACGTGCATAATGTTAGCAGACAGTACGAAATGTGAAGAACCAAACGCACAAATTGTCCAGGTGAATAAAGTTTTACTTCCTTTTCTGGGCACGGACATCCCATGTGTACCAAACCAGTCCCATGGAAAAATGTGTAGGCGTCTACATTAGCAGTAGACAACCTATAACAGCAAGAACAACCCATAGCATCATTCAGAGGATTGATTTGATGATGTCAAAGGTGTTGTTCTTTTCGTTCTATTGGTGTTATTTTTTCGAAGACCCATAATACCTTGGTTGGTGTTGATTGACTTGAGGGGATTCAGATTTGTCGATAATACTGGCGTGCGCTAAAAGCTTCGGAGTTGAAAATTGGCAGCATTTACACTTCCTTAAAGGCCGGCCTGGGTAAGCGTGAAAGCATGGAATCTGGGCTGGCTATTTCAGTAAACTCGAATCTGCTGAACGACGAGTTGTGATAAACTTGAAGACAAAAGCACAGAATATCTCCGGGATCAGCTATCAAGTGTCAGTCAGAGTACTTCTAATCTAGCTTCTTACTCGGTATGTTTGTGCCAGCTGAGTTTTGTTTAGGCTTAGCGTTGCTCTGTCCACGCTTTGTGCATGGCCCCAACCTTACATTTTGTAATTTTCGATCTCGCTTTTGGGGGTCTTGCCCAGATCTAAGTACGAGAATGAATCAACGTAGATCCGTTTACTTAGGATACAAGTTGCATACACTTCACCTGTGCGTGGGTCTCACAATGGGACCCATTCCAGTTGCTCCAACTGGAGATCCAGCCTAAAGCTCCACTAGACTCTTGATACTGAATAGAATAAAAATATACTGAAATCGTCTGAGATGGTTCAGCACCTCGTAATGATCTGCCATGACTCGGATCAGATTCTTGTATTGTTTTCTCAGTGAACTGGGACCGGGGAGTCAATCCAATTGTAAGGTACGAGGTCAGAGTGCTACTGAGAAAAGAATGACAATTATGGTCTCTGCTTTTCCATGCGAAACAAGTGTGCTTGCTTTCTCTATAACAAGTTAAAGTGTATAAACCTCGAGTACCAACTCGAACATGACATAAGCTTGTTGACACCCGCTCTCCTCATTCATTATTGCCGTTCTTATCCACCATAATCAAGACATGGCCTTGGCGGAGCTGTGCTAGTGCAGTCTACTAGTTGTAATCAACATATTGTTTGAATTACCGTAACCAGCCCCACGAACACAGACTGAAGAATAGAATTTGTGTCCAGCGAAGAAATCGTGCGAATAATTATGAGGGGACGATAGACAGAGAGTTTGAAATACATAGAGCATTCGATGAACGATATGTTTAGTATTTTCCTGCTGTAGATCAAGATGAAGGATCCTAGATGAGTGGTGCCAGCATAGGAGCAAAGGAAGAATAGCCACACTTGATGGCGGACAATTAGTACTTTCTGAGCATGATCAGTATGTATCTCTCCCGCGATGGAGTTCGTAGATGGTGCTCCCGGTACCATAAGTAGTCGAAGGTGCCACAGGTCAGCGAAGAAACTAATCACCGGATCATGATCATGTTAAATCTAGGTGTAAATCAACAAAGGTTGTCCATTAACTTTTCGTTGATGATTGATGAAGGTGATATTGTTTTGGAGTTCTAAGAAATTACAGTACCTATGTACAATTGGAGAGTATGGTATATCTATACCATTAGATATGTGTTGTTTGTGATGTATATGAAAGTGAATAACTCACTTGCTATCTTTATCCCAGTCGATGGCAAGGGAAACCCAGTATTTATTCCATATAGAGGTGGGAACCGTCCAGACATGTGACTCATTTAGAATCTAAAGTATTTTTGTACATCTTGAAGTCAACTAGGATTAACTCATATCTATATGGTGTAGACGTATTGGTTATACAGTCAACATGTGATTCAATATTTTTAAAATGATAACTCATCTCTATGGAAAGGCAGCGATTTAAACTGCAAGTCCAATATCTTTAAATCTAGCGGCTTGCAAGAGGTCATTATTTTCTCTATGTATGCAAATATGGATGCAGATTTTGATATAATCATGAAATACTGCAATAGAGGACAAAAAATAGAAGAGAGACATCACTTCTATGAGCTTATCATGTAGCATATATTAAAAATCGTGATTTTCATAGTTGTACAGAGCATTAGCTTACGTTATACACATGGAAACAACATTGATGAGGATTTTTTGTTAGTACAAAAGACTATGTTCTTGCATTACATACTTTTGAAACAAAATATTTAAATTTTATTCTAATTAAATTTTTGTTCCAAATTTGTGTGGCTTTTATCATCTTTAATCTGTGCTTAAAAACTTTAAAGTCTTTATGTTTACATTTTTGTGTTTGATTTATGTTTTTTATATCAAATTTCATTATTTTAAAAAAATTTGAAACTTATATATACATACATATTGCTATATAATATCAAAATTTTGCATAATATATATTATCGATGTGATATATTAGAAAAAATTAGGTTAAATATACAATTCAAATAATTTTTGTCTTGATTTTTTTTTCATCTTTTGTGAAATTCATGCCACAAAATTTTACAAAATTTTATCTGACTTGATTTGAGTAAAAAAATAAAAATGAAACCTCTTGAATTTTTTTCAAGCATTTTTTTCTTATATTCTAATTTATGTTGAGGTTAATTTCGATTAAAGAGTAACCTCACGTTATAGCTACTTATAGCTAGATGTATTGATGGCATTAGGTATATATATATATATCCCCAAGACTTTTGCTCATTGTGTGAAGTATTCAATTGTTAGTAAACTCTCGTTCGCGTGTTTCGGCGTGAAAATAGCCCTCGAGAGTGAAGCATGTTATATCAATGTCTCTTATATTCGTGTTTGACTTGAATGATTGTTGGTTTTACGTTTAATAACTTATTATGATAATTAAAATTGAGATTGAAGAGTTTACAACACAGAATATGTTTGACTTCTTTCTACATTGTATTTCAAAAATTCACAACAATATTGAAAAATCATAATATATATGTCAAATTTGAATCAAAATTTCAATTTAAATCAATGAATATCAAATGAAAACTGATTACTGAACACTTAAACCTAATCAGAAAAATAATATTGAATAAAAATGTCTTATTATCAACCTAGATATCACAATGTTTCAATTGAATGTTTAAAATAGACAAAATATAAAAATATTTGTTGGAAATAAATTAAATATGAAAATTTGAACTAAGCAAAACTAATTTCTTTTTGAATAAAATTTTGTTTATTTTTAATGAATCTGTATACTGCATTTTAAGTCAATTTTTTTTCAAAATATCTGAAAATGAAAAATGAAAAAGAAATCAATGCATGTTAAGCTATACCCTAGTCAACAAATTTCAAAATTTATATGTGCACAAAATTCAAATCAAATCACTACATGACAATGCATATGAAATTGCATAACACATGTCATGTCATTCAGATTATGAAATAGTGACTTAACACAAAAACAAAATTATAAATTGATATCTATAACTTATATTTCTTTAAATTCTCTTTTGCAATGTATAATATATTTATTATCTAAATTGACTCAAACATCTATCTTATCATCTATTCCACGATTGCAATGAGAACTTGAAGTAGTCTTTGGTGCGGATAATGCCTTAGGCCCTTACCACACTACCGGCAGCCGGCAACGAGCTCTTGGCTAGTGAAAGAAAGAATCTTTGTAGGCACCCCTCGTCCACCTGGACATTATCCACTAACGGCTACCACACGGCCGGCAGCGGCAGGAATAAAAAGAGAGGTCTCTGCGTGTGAAAAGAGCCCCAAAGGACAACTCTCGAGAAGAAGATAGAACTATCACCTCAAAATTTTTCATGTCTTCCCTCTCTATCCGAATCCCTAAATTTCAGTGCTCAATTTCTTCACTTTTACAGTAGACTCTTGCATCCTAAATCATCATTCATCTTCACTTTCTTTCCATAAATTTCCACAATGGACAATGACGTCCATAGTTTCATTTTTCTTCTTTTATTGCAGTTCTCACTGTTCTGCACGATGAAATCTCTTGATAGAGATCAAAGTATCATCTTGATGTGGAACTGGCATCAAACCTATTGCATATCAATTATGGTGCAAAGATTCATGCTAGGAAGAGTCACAAGATCTCGACGTTTATGGGCCCATAATAGAGGGTTGGGAGAACCTGGGTTTTTTTATCAAAACTTACTCGGATCATTCAATGCGA